AGAATTTTTTTTCCAACCTTCGAAATTTTAAAAGTCGCTGCACCACCACAAACATAACTCCCAAAGCCGTTTTGCTGGGGGGGAGAATTCTGGGAGTTGAAGTCCAGACATCTTAAAGTTGCCAAGGTTGAGAAACACTGCTATAAAGCTTCAGAGCACCAATTTCTCCCTTAAACATCCCAGCGAACAGAGCCAATAGAAACAGCAACAAAGTAGCAAACAGAGCCAATAGAAGTTATTGTTTCTGCATTAAAAAATATATATAGTTTGTTTGGTTTGGACTCTGTGCACTTTGTTGATCCAACCACTGTCATTTACGGATGCTTAAAACTTCTGAAATTCCTTCTGAAAACAGGCTTTGAGTCTGGCCAACTTTGGAATAAGGCCCTTGACATGTTGCATGAAGCTGGTGTGGTCCTCACGCCAACAGAAGTTCATATCCCCACTGGATGCTGGATGCCAATCACAATTAACTTACATGTATGGCAAAATCTGCACTCTTTGGAATTTTGCAATGCAGACTGTAATTCAAATGCAACTAAGACAATGGAAATGATACACAGAAAATGTAGATTTTTACATGGATATATATATATATATCATTTTTTTGCACAATGGGCTCAAACCAACTCAAAATAGGGCAAATGAGAATCTGACTGATCATTACATGTTTGCACAGCAAAATGCTCCTAGATTTGCTTCAAAGACTTAACAGCTTTTTAAAACTTTGTGTATATACATTCAGAAACAAAAATCCAAGTTAATTTCAGCCAGAGGAGAGAACACAAGGCTGTATTCCTCCCCCTTATGACTTTTGTGAGTCCTGCCTTTCAGCTTACTGATAATGGCTGCATTGTTCGTGTCTTTGCGAAAACGAAACTTTCTCAGCTTCTCTACAAGGTCTTCAGCAACATCGCAAACCACTAGGGATTCACTCTAAAGAGATGAGGGGAGGGGAGGGGAGTGAAGAAGAAAAGAAAAGAAAAGGCATGGATGAACAAAGGAACTCTTTATTTCAGCCATATATATCACTCCAATCCTCAACTGCTGGAGATGCAATGCATATTAAAAAAAAAAAAAGTCAGACAATACCCTGTCTGGAGAAAAACTAACAAGTATTTTGAAGGAGAAAATATATCATGAGAATATAGTACAATAACTCCATAATATGAGGACAACTGTTGCAGTTTCCTAGTCTGCTGCCCTCCAGATATGTTTAGTTCAATTATATCTGGAATATAGGGATACTTCAACACCCCATTACCAAATCCTTTTGGCAAATAGTGGTTTATAGCAAGCATTTATAGTTGAGGCTTGATGGAAGATGCAGTAGTCCAACCCACTTGGAGGGCCCCAAGTTGAAGGTGCCTGGCTTTCCACACTTTCACTTTCCTTCTTTTCCTGCATGGCAGCCAAAGAAATCAAGCTTCAGGCAATCGTGGGATTCATACAGTATGAACTCAGTGCAACTATGGGAAGGATATTTATCCTTTTCTTCCTCAAAACCCTTGATGGTCTTTCCCCTTGTATCTCTATTCCTACATTCCAGGGTGGGGAACACAAGGCCTTTCAGGCGTTATAGAACTATCACTTCCAGCATTCCTCACCTCTGGCTATGATTGTGGGCTTGCTGGGTAATATTGTTCAGCAACCCCTCAGAGTCTCCATAATTTATGCTGTATCCCAATGCTCCTCTGCCTGTGGCCACCTGGTTCATCATCCTTGCCTATTGAAAGGTTTCTAACTTGTTCAAATAATTCCACCTGGTATTTCCTTATGGTCTCTGATATCCAACAAGCTCTACCATGCTACTTTTCTTTCCTTCTTTCTTTCCTTCTTTCTTTCCTTCTTCCAATCCTTCATTTACTTTTTTTGTAAAGTATGCAACAGAATGCACTGTCCTCACATCCAGCTGAAATCAATCTTACAGTGACTATAAAAACTAAATATTCTTCCTTGATTGATCATGATTCCATTTCCCTGACTTTTCCATTTTGTCTCCCTTGGATTGTTTTCCAGACTGTAAGGCCTTCTGGACCTCTCTGCCTTCTTATATTTTGATGGGGGCTCCATATATAGACAATAGCTGCCATTGACTATTCTCAGTATGGCAATATCTCCCAACACACAGCTTGTTATTAGAGTTCAACATAGTCTGCAGTGCTAAATACAGTTCTGAGGAAATAAATCCCACTGAGTTCAATGTAATTTACTTTGGCAAAATCTAGAAGTACTTCTAGGTTGCATTCACACATTATACCTAGCCATAATGTTAGTTTGGTTTCGGCTTAGAATGTTCTGTGAATGTAGTGATTGTTTAGTCAGAAGCCTATGATTAAACAAACCATGACTTAGTACAATGTGAACCTAGCCAAGAACAACTTCTGGACTTTGCAGACCTATCATTGCAGTAGGCGAGATGATCCACCTCAGGAAGGAGGACAATGCTCAAGTCTTTCTGGACCAACATAGCTAATGCAAGTGTTACTAAATCACACAGCTAAGCGATCCCAGATTCCTTTTCTCTCTGCAGTAGAATAGGTTGGAGATCCCCATATCCAATATGAAAGGCTGTAAACTTTCACAAAATGCATAGTTAAGCTACAAAATTTGTAAAAATATAGCAAAGGCACCAATATAAATGCTATAAGAGGGAAGGAGACAATTTATGGAGAATAATAGTTATTAGTCACAATAGCTATATATTCCTTCCAGTTACCAAGGCAGCATGATTTTCAATATTAAGAAAACATGAGTCTATGTGTTTATGTGAGCTTTGAATTTCCCATATGCATCTGGTTGTATGCTGGACTAGGATGATAGACTAGGATGCTATCTGATTCAGCTGAGTTCTTATTTAGGGAAAAACTGGTGAAAATTACTCTCAGCAGATATTCATTATTCTATAGTATTACACAAATAAATCAGAATAGACAATATTACAACATTTTTTTAAAAAAAGAACACTTGTTCATGAATCCAACCTGTAATCCATATTACTGTATACTTACAACACTCACCCTGTATAAATGCTGTATGAAAATATATCCTGGCAGTTACAATTGCACACAATTACATTATGCCAGAAAAGCCACAACTGAGTTTCCTGAACAGATTGTCTTTCAGGCATTTGTTATGATATGCAAATCAACTATCCAAAAAAACATTTGCTCATAACAGAAGGTTCTGAGCCTGCAAGGAGTCCTTGAGCATGAGAACAGTGTATCACAATCTTGTTGCCAAGGAAAAAAGAGAATAAAATGGATTCAGAAGTCTTCATCTTCTGTATCTCACTGTTTAGAGATTTGATATCGGTCCTGTGCTATAGCTGAAGCCAGTTTAAATACCACAGGATTGGAGGGAGATTAATTTGTTGACCTTTCCTCCTCTCCCACTAAGACTGCAAAGTCTTTTGGATAGGAACTGTTTTTTATTTTATCTTACTTCTGTTCCTCTAAAGCATCATATATACTATGTTAAAAACAATATTTCTCTGAGGGAACATGACATCTAACAAAAGTTGCTACAAAGCACATAATTCCTAGTTAGAGGCAGAAGGGATGTCCTGACTAAATCTGACTTAGGTTTACAGACATGCACTGCATTTCTTCATACCACATATCTAAGTCTTAAAACCTCTCACAAATACACAGCTTGAGGTCACAAAAGTCTTGCATTTTCATTTAAGCAGGAAGAGTCTTACCAACAGCTTCTGAGCACACAAAAAGATAAGCCAAATCCTTCAATATTAAGCAATATTTGTAGTTAGGAATTTAGAAGGTTGTGACAGCACAAGGGAATGGATTTGAAGAGAAAGAAAAGCAATGAAGAGGCCCAAGGCCATTTAGACCAATCTCTTCTCACAATGTACACAGGCTATTTCTATCTGTCAACAATGGCCATAGAGGAAAATGACACTTTTTTGGACCTGAATAATCAGCAGCCCCATTAATTTAACAAATGAAAATAAAATGTTAGCTCTTCAAATTATTCTTTCTCAGGACTGCTAAGGAGGATTAGTAAAATAATAAAGTCTTCTTCAAGTTAACTCCTGGCAAATTCATGGACACTAATGTGTATCATTTTTTGGTAGCAACATGAAATGGTTTGTTACTGCCTTCTTCCAGACTTTTTTTTTTCCATTCTATTTTCCAGTCTAACATCCTGGGATTTTCAGGTGGTTTCTCATCCAGAAATAACCAATCAGTCAAGGTTGGCTAGATGCTGCCGCCTGTTTGACAAGGAGCATTTAGATACACATAACATCAGATTTTGCCAACTCTTTTCAGAGCTACACATACTGAAAAGAAGCCCCTTTAAATCAGTTGGCATTTTTCCCCTAAATAAACACAAATTGTATCAGTCAGTTGCAAGTATTCTAGAGCAATTCTCATGGATTACAGTCCTCCTTTCAGGATTCTAAATGTGTCTTAATCACACCTGGAATTTAAGCCACTCATATCTCCACTTTTTCCATCAAATCTTGAAATGAAAGACAAGTGGAAACTTAATGCACATATAGTATTTGTCTGTGAGCATGAATCTAAAGTACTGAAAGGGGCTTTTCCTAGAGCAGTGGTTGATATCAACCCCAAAGGCTCAATGGGACTCTCCATTATTGTTATTATTATTCATAGTACTATTAGTTAGGGTAGTATTTATTAAATACTTGGGACTCAATGAACAATCTGAAACTTCATGAAGGGCTCGATGAGCTGAAGAGTTTGGGGACCCCTGTCCTAGAAGCTAGCCCAGTGTTTCTCAACCTCAGCAACTTTTATGAGGTGTGGACTTCATCTTCCAGAATTCCCCAGCCAGGGGAAAATGCTGGATGGGGAATTCTGGGAGTTGAAGTCTGCACCTCTTAAAATTGCTGAGGTTGAAAAACACTGGGCTAGAAGAAAGACTA